GTAGGGAAATTATTGACTCTAATTATGAAATGATATTTTCATAGTCTTATATTAACACAATAAAAGTTTATGACAATAAGAAGCTGAAAGTATGATAATTACTTCAAGAGAATGAATTTTTACCACCTTCAAAAAGTTTCTAGGAAATATTTTCTGACAGGGTCTTTTAAAACCATATTTATTACTTTGCCACCCTTAATTCATTGACTAGTAAATCATCTGATTGCATTTCTTACTTAGATATTGATGAATGCATCCAAAATGGTGTTCTTTGTAAAAATGGCCGGTGTGTCAATACTGATGGCAGCTTCCAGTGTATTTGCAATGCTGGCTTTGAACTAACTACAGATGGAAAAAACTGTGTCGGTAAGGAAAACTCTTCTTTGTTTTTGAACAGACTCTGCTTTCACATTTCTAGAAATTGCCCTTAGCATAATATTCCTGATGTTTCAAGTTCAGGTTTCACAAAGTAACTTCTGATGTGAGGGATAGCCTCACTGGGGTCAAGTAGACAGTACATAAAGCTTCCCCATTCCCAAGAGACTGCAGAATGATGCTTCAAAAACTAAATTCTCTCCTTGAGTTAGCCAGTGCACAGCTGCATTTCACCAGCCATAGCCTGCTGTCATTGGTGTGGCTGATGTAGAAGATGGTGAGATAGTCAAAACCACAATCCCACATTCTTCAGATGCCTTTTAAAATGGTTTGGAGTTTACATTTGGAAGAGTGTAATGAGACTAACCCATGTAGTTTCATGAGTAAACATATTGCAATTGTGACAATAAGTGACAATAAATGTTTAATAAAAGATATCACAAAAAAACGTTGCCTCGTATATTTTCTGAATGATCATGTCTACAACAACCCCCCTACCCTATTGTGACTGCTGTCATTTGTGAGGTTTAAACAAAGTTAAAGTTGTTCTCACTCTTGCCCTACTCTCTACATTGCACCTACTTGGGCATGCTTACCCATTCATGAATGTGCCATAATTATGGCGCATTAAATTTAATATTTATAATAACAGGTTCTAAACTTAGTGTGCCATCATCGATGCTACTGCGCATTAGCACAAACAAAACTTTTTTGTAGCATTAATGTGCATTAAATTAAGTCTGCTGCGCATTAGCACATTAGCCTGGTTTTTGCCAGCCATGCTAATGTGCAGTAGAATTAGTCTCCTGTGCATTAAGTGCCTCGTGTAGATGCTACCCTTTTGTCACGTTTTGGCCCCTGAAAAATCTGTCTTTGTAGGTGTTAGTTTTATCCATTTAGGCTGTAAAAGCTTTGCTGCAAGGGCTGTGGTTTGCCATGTGTTTGTATCAGCTATTGTTTTAGTATAAATAATAAAACAGATTTAATATTAAATGTCCTTAGATGAAAAAATGTTATATTTATTTATATTTTTAATGACTTAAGAAAACATAAAACATATTTATTCTTCCTGCTTAAAGGCAAGGATTTCATTAGAGTAATAAACTTTATCTTAACTACATAGTTGGTCCAATAAAAGATATCACCCTAAGAAATCTTTGCCCCTCACATAATTTCTGGAGCATCATGGCTTCAGCATCACTCTTACACTACCTTCCTGCTTAAATGCGTTAGGTAAGGTTTTGCTTTTTTGATATGTCTTTATATTGATGCACTATTATATAGTATATGATGTGCCCTCTCCTTTGATAGTACAAAACAGAACATTTACCACTAATGCAGTTCACAGGTGGTTAATTGTTTCAGGGAAACGGCATGTCCCATCCAGTCTCCATAGAATGTCTTCTCCCTCCGTGGTGTTAAAGATAAGAATTTTAATTTTGATTATGAAGTGTCATGAGAAACTTCTAAGAAAAATATCTTAGAAGTGTGGCTGCACCACACTTTGAATTCCTCAGGATGGCTAATTCTCATCCTGCCTCCTCCTAAAAGAGGAGGAGGCACCATTTACCTGAGGATATACTCTGCTGAAATATTCTAGGCTAGTGGTTGTCAACCAGGGGTACGTGTACCCATAGGGATACTTAAAAAAGTCCTAGGGGGTACGCAGAACTAATGTGGCTGATAAATGCCACGTGCATGCACACAGCTGCAGTGCAGCACACAGGCAGCCAGGAGAGCAGCTGGGTCCAGCTGGTAAGTGTGTGGTGAGGGAAGGGTCCTGTGGGGGGAAGATTGAGGCCCCAGCGGTGGGGGAGGGAGTGGGGCTGCGGCAGGGGTTGCCCAGTCAGGCCAGGGCACTGGACTGAGCTACGTGAGGGGTGGCTTCTGCTGCTGCACACACCCTGAGATATATGGGGGCATGGGGGGTGTATGCCCCCAGATATGTGTGGGGTGGAGTGGGCTGATGCTGTGGGCTAGGGGCCAGGGCTGCACTGGACTCTTCCCGGCAGGGGCAGGGCCGGGCAGGCTGCGCTTGGGGCGGGCAGTGGTGGCACCGGGAGGGGGCTACAGGAGGGGTTGCAGCCACTCCAGAATTTGCTGTAGTTTGCCCAACACTCTCAGCACCGCCACTGCCACCCGCCCCAAGCACAGCCTGGCCCAGCCCCCAGCCGGGAAGAACCCAGTGCAGGCCCCAGCTCACAGCAGGAGCCTGCCCTCACCCCATGTGCAGATCCGGGGCACACACCCCCCATGCACTCCTGGGGGTGCACGTAACAGCGGGAGCTGCCCCCCATGTGGCTCAGTCCCTCACACTGCCCTGGCTGGGCAGCCCCTGCCGCAGCCCTACCCCGACTGAGCCACTTGCGGCTCCATCCTGCGCTCTGCCTCAGTTGTTCAGCCCCAGCCCCACCCCTGCTCCCTCCCTCACTGCAGGGGCCTTGATCTGTCCTCCCGCTCCTTAAAAACAAGAAAAAAATATAAAGGGGTACATGAGCTGAAACTTCGAGAGAGATGGGGTACACTTGTTAAAAAAGGTTGAAAACCCATAGGGAAATGACATTTTTCACTCTGCTGAAGGTGATTGCTGCTTCTATGTGTAGTCTGCAGACTTTTCAGACAATTTTTGCAAATTTTACTTGTAGAGTTTAAACTGGGGAGGAAGAAATTCTCTGCCACATAGTCACAGAGAGTTTACTTTATTTACACTAAGCAACACTTACCCAGTGAGATCCAGAAGTTAATTCCTCAAGGATGTAGGAACATAAGTAATTTTCTCTGTTCTGTTTCTGCAGACCATGATGAATGCACTACTACAAATATGTGTTTAAATGGGATGTGTATAAATGAGGATGGTAGCTTCAAATGCATCTGCAAACCAGGGTTTGTTTTAGCTCCAAATGGGCGTTATTGTACTGGTATGTATGACTGTGAGAACACATTAAGACAATCTTATTGAAACCATCTTTTCCTATCTAGTGAACCATGTAAGAATGACAAATCTTTTTATCACATGGAATTAATAATCTTCAGTATTTTACTAATTTGATACAATAGGTGATGAAGCTGCCTAAAAATACTAATTGGAATTCTAGAAGGAAATTATTGAACCACTTTCAGTTACAGTAGCTAGATGACAAGTTAGATTTTGAAAGCTAGTGCTAGATGACAAGTTAGATTTGGAAAATCATTGTAGCTGTAATGCAATCTGTGCACACTGCAAGAATAGTTATGGGGGTGCAGTGCTTCAAATATTGATAATTACGAAACATTCAAATGTAAATTTTTCATTTGGGTTTTTTTTCTTAATTACGTAACGTTTCTTAAAATATCAGCACTACTACATTGGGCTAAGTACAAACTTCTTCGGTGAAGTTATTTAAAAGATGACATTAAACATTTTAATAATGAAGCCCAATTTGTTTTCCACTGAAACCAACAAAAGGTTTCTGTTGACTTCACTGGGTGCTGGATTGGGTGTAAGTGTTTTCCAATACAAAATGATTTCATGGGTCAAGTTTATTTTAAAACATTTTTTCTGTATTAATATTGGACCTCTTCTGTGAATCTCCTTCCCTTTAATAAGCGTACAGTTTGTTGTCTATATTTAAAGGTTATTTTGGAGCTGTTCACATAGATGAAAATGAATAAATTAAACCTGCTTTTCTCTCCAGTTGTACAGACATACAGTGTCTGCAAATTAAAGAAAAAAATCCAAGAGAAATCTTGGAATTTAAATCAAATTCTGGAATGAGGAGGAAGAGAAATTCCAACTCTTTCTCATGTTTTTGAAATACAAATTACTAGTAAACTTGCTGAGCATGAGGAAAAGAAGGGAAAAGAAAAATACTAGAGCTCCGCTGCTTGAACTAATATATGGGATTAATGAGCAGAGGTTACCTAGCTTTGATTTAACTCATGTGTCATGTAAGATAAATTACAAAGTGCTAGTTCATTAGGGGAGCAGACTCCCTTTCACTACTTCTTAAGTATCATGAATAAACTCAGATTTCAGAGAGCAGCAGATCAAAAGTCTCACCACTTTTTGAGATTCCCACGGTATGTGCAGAAGCGGGGCGCAGTGCAGACAGCTCTCCTAAGCACTTGGCTGGCCTTGGGAACTTGTGGAAGCTGAGGCATGCAGGGAGTCCACCTCTCCAGCCAGAAGGCCACTTCATGCTTTCATAGCCATTTTGAAACACTCCAGGGGGAGCTGTGTGGTGCTGAAGTGCAGTGGTGTAACTAGGGTGGGGGGAATGGAGTAATTGCCACAGGCGCCATCTTGTTGGTGGGGGCTGTTGCCGGCAGCCACGTGGTAGTGATCACAATTATAATAGCAGTGGCAATTAGAAGATGTTGTGCTCTGGGTACCTGCTACTATGCTGCTGCTGTAGTACATCAATTTGCACATCTGTCCTGCACCTAACTTCATTTTTTAGACTGCTGTATTACTGTGAAATAGCTGGCAGAAAAATAAAGGGGAAATCTGCCATTAATGTTCTAAATATATAGTCCTGAGTTGCCTCTAGACTCGGTTTATATTCCTGAAAATTTATTTTAGGCAAATTTGTTTATATTCCTGAAAATTTGTTTTAGGCATGTGCCCCACACTGTACCACCCTCCTGCCCCAGCCAACCCCTCTGCAGCATATGGAGCCGGTGTGGAGCAGTTTAAGTTTATTTCTTGGCCCTAATTGTACATGTAGATGTACCCAGTGTGGAAAACTATAGTTTAATCCCAATGTGGAAACAAAACAAGGCAATACTAATAATTCCTGTGCTATCATAATGCCAAGGAGCAATGTGTAAATTAAATTGAAATCTACTTAATCTAGATTAATTACGTTAATCTACTTGAAAATGGTAATGAGTTACTGAGTTATGTCTTCCTCTGATCAGATATTGATGAATGCCAGACATCAGGGATTTGCATGAATGGTCATTGTATCAATACTGAAGGATCATTTCGATGTGAATGTCCACCTGGCCTGGCTGTTGGAGTTGATGGTCGTGTTTGTGTAGGTAAGTGAAACTTTCTTAATGGGAAGCAATGAGAATTTAACAGTTAATGTCAGTATTAGCTGTAGAATTAAAATGTTTCTTAGTGGATTTTTTCTCCCACACTGCTGATGTGGGAGCTGTGTTGGGGTCCTTTAGTCATATGATCTTCTACTGCTTTACTTGTATGCATCTATTCAGGGTGGATGGCTTCACTTATACGTTTTAGCCCCCCTTCCACTGCTAATTACCCATCTCAAATCACTAGACAAGAAAATCACTTTAGTCAAGAGGATTTTTTTTTTATATTCTTTTGTTTCTTACTCTTGTCCCTGCTCTCATTGCACATTCCTTTTGTGCTATGAAGGCCAGGTGAAATAGAAAAAACTCCCATCAGGAGATATACAACAAATGCAACCTAAAGAATAATTATTTTATGTGGACTCAAAATTGAACTCACTGTATTATGTAGCATGCAATTGTGCTGCACTGTAAACTAGTTAGATGATAAAATGCTTAGGCAAAAACTGAACTCTTACTAACTTAACATTAGCATATATACATTTTAGCTTCACATAATGAAAAATACTGGGCTTATGAACAACCTCTGAGAAAGGTGAACTTAAATTCATTATTTTTACTTCAGAAAAGTCTGAAAATCATGTTGTCATAAAAATTAGAGGAGAAAAAGCTGTGAAAAGGCATGTGCATTTCTGGATAGTTCCAGACAGTGAAAATGATTCGTCCAGTCCAGTTTATATTAAACTAACTTTTTTCTTAGGAATCTCTGGAGTCTTAAAAGAATAATCAACTAAGGAACATAACAAAGGCTCAACCTTCCCTAATCTATTGTGACAGGAAACCTGCCCAGCTGCCTTCCTGGGGCACTGTGCTTTTTCCTTTCCCCACTAGACTGCTCCCCACATCTGGGGTGCTCATTTTAATCTGTGCCCTTGGACTGGCCTCCAAAATCCGTAACTGTCCTGGGAAAAATAGGATAGGTGGTCACCATACCTAGGATGCACTGCTCCCAATCCCCTACCCAAAGCAAGGATAGAGTCCAGGTGCCAGAGCTTGTAGACACATTCCTACTCACCAGTAAGAGCTGTGCAGGCAAGAAACGGTATTAACCATTTATGTGCAACTGCTCATAACTGTTTAATATCCCATAGATTTAGTGTGGTCTAAGTGTAATGTAGTTAGTTATTTCACAGTATTATGGCACAGGAGCAGAACCACTGAATCATCCAGTAGCTTTTTGTGGCTGAGTGGAGCTGATTGTACCCTCTGTCTAGGAGATAGCAGTAAGAAGCAGTTTGGTGCTTGGTTTTCTGTGTTCTCTTTATCTTCTGTTTCCACAGTTCCAACAGCTTAGGGCTTTACAGGTTGTAAGGACAACTCTACGTAGTATTTTACAGTAGTGTACTGATGGCAGGTTGAGGGGAGGGTTGATCAGGGCAGCAGCCCTTGGTGCTGCCTTTGCTGGGAGGATGAAAAAATAGCTGCCGCTGCAGTGGTGGCTGGTTGTGGCACCCCGATCAGCACAGTGGGAGGC